TTACTACTCAAGTTTTGGGGGGGTGGGGTGGGGTGGGGGAACAGGGCAACTAGGATGGCGCCCACTAAATACGCCACTATTTGTTTCAATTTCATTATTATTCTTCATTTGCTTTCCATTCCCTAGGTCCATATCATTGAAAAATTAATTTTGTTTTTACTTCAGCAACAAAACATACACATGCAAACACCATGACACAAAGTATTGACAAAATTAAGTCTGGAATTATTGTTGTTATTAAAAACTATCATTATTATTTTGTAAATTTAATAGTTATCATCTGTTTTGTTTATTAAAGTAGTATTAAGGTTAACATTCATTGTGTTTAGCTTATTAACGATTATAATGGTTCTGCAACTATCATTGTTATTGTTTAACCTTATTTTCAGGATATTCAAGTGCCTGTTTGTCCACTGTGCAATAAACCCGTTCCGGGCAAGCGAGGTGAAGCCCCGGATATTGCTGTGTCTGGACACATAGATAGGGATTGCCAGTCAGATCCAGCTGTTAAGAAGCGAAAGGTTTATGCTAATAGGTGCAATGTAAAAGGATGTAAAAAGAAAGAGGTAATTAAATTTAAAAAAATTTAAATCCTTCTATGAATCAGTAAATAAATCAATCAGTCAAATTAATGAGTGAGCAATACAGATATCAATCAGCGGCTGTTAATAAGCGAAAGGTTTATAGGATGTAAAAAGAAAGGTACAGTAATTAAACTTTTAAACAGCTTTAAATAAGCATGTAGTATGATAACTGGGTGTCTTCCGATTCATCAATCAACACAAATCATTCAACCAGTCAATCAACTTAAAACAATCAACCAATCAGTAAATGTTTCAGTCAATCAATCAGCTATACAAGAGAGTAATCTGCAGCAGTTTTACGCTAAGTTTGCATACAGTAAGTCTATTTACATGCTGATAAACAACACAGACCAATTTGTTGAACGTAAAAATCATTAGGCAGTTAGTTGAAGCCATGAATTACTCAATGCCGTAACGGTTGACTGCGTATGGGTGGTCCTTATACTAACTAATTAACTGCGTGTCCCACGATTTTCATCTGCGGAAAAAATGCGTGCTGTGGGCTAATGTTTTCTGGATGGTACTGTATTTATGTGCTACATGAATTAGCTTCCATACGGTTGGTGGTGATTTATTCCCCAAGGATTAGTTATACACCTGCCTTCTGTTCCCCCGTTATTTATTTATTCACTTACTCATTTTTTATGGTAATTTTGTTGTTTTTATGACATAATTGTAATTTTAACTTTTTTGCCTGAATTTTGTATATTGAATATTGAATAAAATCCATGAATGAATGAATGAAATACACGGATCGTCTTGATCCACAGTGAGCACAATTTTGTCTCTGCTAATAGTGATATGATGGGGAATAATTTTAAATTAAATTTAAGTCTGCCATCAGGCCTGGAAAAAAAATGTTGTGTGGCTCCGAACATGAAATTATCTTGATGAAATGCCTTCAGGACAAAATGTCAACTTCACACTGTTATAGCAAAACAGTAGTACATTTAGTGGTTTGGAGCAAGCAAAAATATTATATTTATGCATTAATTTGTGATGTGCAAAGAAAAAAAATTTTCCCCAAAATGCTTCCGGGGGCTTTGCCATCCCAAAACCAGCATCAGTAAGTAATTTATGCACTAATTCTCCATATTTTAAGCTTTAAAATGATGGGACATTTATTGGAATCGATTTGCTATTGCTAAAGTTATGACCAAAAGTATTATGACTTCTCTGTATTAAGGTAATACAATATTGCCTCATTCTTTTTTTAATTTTCATTTCAACAATATTATTTCAACAAAATCACAGTACACTGTACACTGGTTTTGAATTGGCAAGCCTCAATTATTATCAGAAGTTTATAATTTTAATTGACAAAAATTTCCATTATTTCTTTCCAAGCTGGTTCCAGTAATATGCGACTCATGCCGGTTGAATTATTGTTTACGACATCGTCATCAGACAGATCATGATTGCCATGGATACCAAGGAAGCGGACGCTCTGTTTCTAACACAGGGTAAGTTGTCCTCAAAATAGAAAATAGTATAAATAAAATATAACCTTGTTTTGTATGGCTTATTGACTTCTTAAGCAGTACTGTGTGCAGTTTCATAAAGCAAGCAAGCATGTTCTTAATAGAATGTATTGTAAACCATCTTGGCTTCATGCCAATATTCCAGGATAATGTGTTTTCATTTACAGTATTTAACATTTTGAAATAAATTTCAATGGATTAAGTGTAATACTTTTTATTGGTAAATTTTTTTTAATCACAAAAAAAGGATGTGTTCATATTATCAAAATCATCATGTTTTATTTTTTTCTCCACAGAGCAGCAGCATTAAAAAGAGCACAAACTTCTGGACCTGCCAAGACTAGTGGGTCAAGGTCAAAACCACAACAGACAACCTTAACCTCCATTGGACAAAATCTAGACAGGTAAATATTGATTATTAATACTGTGTAACTAACAGTTTACCCACATAGATTGACTTGCCACAATGTAGACATGTTGGTGGATATCATATAATGGAGTTTGTAATTTATGAATAGTAATTGTAATTTGTTTTTTTTTTAGAGAACGACGTGAGAGAGCTCGACAGAGTCATCCATCTCGTACTCAGACATCTTCGGCGCAGTCTTTACAAGGTGGAATCGTAAGTTTATTGAAGATTTTAATTGCGCGAATTTCAATATATTTAATAACCATTGTAGTGTTGCATGGTTTATACTATTTGGAACAATATAAATACTCTATGAAAATAGTTCAAACAGTTCAACCTAGTGGCTTGTTATATTACTAGTGGCTGTTGGAGGCGGTAAACTGTCCAACAAGGGGTCTAACCATTCCCAACAGGGCCAACCCCATTATCAATGGGTCCAGGGAGTTAAGACCCGTCACCTGGAAATACTGAGCTATCTTGGGCCGTTTTACGCTGTTAGAAAAAGGTTGAACAAATTTCAATATTTATTTTTATTCCAACAGTCAGAAGATGAAGCAATGGCGAGAGCTATCCAATTGTCTATGGTTGCCAATCAGGGTAGGCCTACCTCAGTGCCAACCAAACCAACAGTACCAAATGAACAAGCTATGACCCAGGAGGAAGAGGACCTCGCCCTGGCTAGAGCTATTGCTGCAAGTGAGGAAGAGCACCGCAGACAACGACCTAACCAAAGACAGGTAGCTGTCAAATCAATTTCCCCCCTTTTTTATACACTTATAAAGCACCTACCTACACATTAAAATTAGTTGTATTTGATTATATTCTTCCATTTTAGTATATCTATAATTTGAATTTTATTTTCCTCCTCAGCAACAGCAACAGAACCAACAATCGGAGTCCAAATGTGTCACATCTTGAACATAAAATTCCTTTATAAATATCAAAGCTATTTATTAACAATCAAGCAAATCCATCATATATTTCTACCAGTACCAGCGGTCGTTACCAGCTTTAGTTCCTGATGTCACTGCTTTTGATCAAAAATTTGAAAACTATCTCAAACTGATAAAATATTAGCTTATTAAGACCAAAAATAAATCTACAAAAAAAAAATAAAAATATAGAATTATCATTTAATATAATACCCACTACGATCTACAGTGCTCACTGAGTACCTTTTTTATGGCTTGGCAGGTTGAAAATAGTGTATAATTGCCTTACTAACATATCATTACAACCGTGTTGGTTGAGTACCGTACTTTTTTTTACAACCTATCAAATTGTGGTTACTGCAATCTCATATTTACAGGAATGTAGCATTTATACAGAATCAAGCTTGTTTTAAGCTCTGTCCACACTATCAAACTGTCGTATGCCCATATATAGTCATGATGTGCCTATATATGGTCATATGATATGATGTCATCATGACCATATAGTCATGATGTCCCATATATGGTCATGTGATGTCATCATGACCATATATAGTCATGATGTACCCATATATAGTCATGATGTGCCTATATATAGTCACAATGTGATGTCATTATGACCATATTTAGGCATGTCATGTTTTTGACAAATAAAATTTAATAGTCCGGACAGGGCTTTACTGGTGGTAATTAAAGACGAAAACATTTATATGTATTTTTGAATGCATTATTAATGAATTAAGTTCAGTAATTTATGTACAGTAATTGAAAATTCCAAAACTTGTAATGTTTATGTGTGTTGTAAATTATATTAACTTAAATGTATGTTTCTCAAAAATATAGCATCTGTACTTTAAATAAATTCTTTTATTCTTTTTTGACAATTAAATGTAAACTTTATATAAAACATTTATTATATACAAAGAATTGTCTGTACTAATATTATATACTGTAAAGTATACATCTTCTTTGATGTGTAAATTTATGATTAACTTTTCAAGCTAAAGAACAAGTATATTATTCCTCACAACTTTTTACTAGCTTTAGAAACATTATAGGGTCTGAAGAATTATGTTAAAAACAAAGGAATATAATTAGTGCATTACTGTATTAGATAAAGCTAAATTGGATTCTATATAAATATATATAATATATATAATATAATAATAATATATAATAAATATTATATATATATATATATATATATATATATTAAAGATATATATATATATATAGATTCTATGTAT